CTGAGTAAGCTAGTAGCCGCCTCAGCCCATCAGCGCACCTTGCATGGAGGCGTTCAGGCGACGATGACGGAGTTACGTGAGAGGTTTTGGCTGCTCAGCGCCCGGAGAACGGTAAAGGCGGTGATCGGCCAGTGTCGAGTATGCCGACACTTTTCTGCACAGCCAGCCAGTGCACCAGTCGCACCGCTACCGCGGGACAGAGTCCACGAGGGTCATCCCTTCCAAGTCGTAGGAGTCGATTTTGCGGGACATTTTTTCGTCAAGATCGACGGTGACGACGTAAAGGCGTTCATTGTCATTTTCACTTGCGCAACCACTCGAGCTGTACACCCAGAGCTCGTCTCTTCCGTAGCCACGACACCCTGGCTTCTGGCCCTTCGACGCTCTGTAGCTCGTAAAGGAATGCCGAGCACGATTTACAGTAATAATGCTCTTACGTTCAAGAGGGCTGTGAAAGACCTGAGGGTTGTGTGGGAAACGATGCGCAACCAAGTGTTGCAGGATTACTACAGCTCGCAGCTAATCACGTGGAAGTTCATCATGGAGAGAACGGCATGGTGGGGCGGTTGGTGCGAGCGACTGGTGCGTTCGGTAAAGGTCTGCCTCCGAAAGGTACTTGGACGACAGAGCCCATCGTTCGAGGAGCTCACGACTATCTTGGTTGACGTTGAGGCTACAGTAAACTCGCTGCTTTTGATATACCTCCACGCAGATCCTGGCGAGCCAGGAGCCTTGACGCCTGCACATTTGCTCATCGGGAGAAGACTAACCACACTGGCCGAGGTCGAACCACCCAAGGCGTCGTCTAAGGAAACCCTTTCCCGCCGCTGGAAGTATCGGCAGCGCCTCATGGACCAATTCTGGAATCGTTGGAAGCAAGAATATATCCAAGAGCTTTGTTCAGCACATCTCGCCAGACCCGCTGTCGAGAATTTTTTTTTTTTTCGAGCTCGGGAAATTTTAGGTACCCACGCGCTTACAAAAGGAGCTTCGCATGGCTGCTTGAGGCAGTTGTCCTTTCGTCACCGTAAAACGTAAAGGGTCTTTGTTACTTTATGTTTCTCGGCACACGGCACAAGTTTGCCGCCTTACACACTGATTTAAAGTTTTATTAATAAGTATGTTTTTATTCATGACAATACTTACATGAATTTTGATAATTTAATCTTCTGATATTTCAAACTAAAGGGTGTGGCTTCCTGGAGTTTGAGTAGTAGTTAGTGGTGAGGGTAGCAGAAAGCCGGAAATGTTGGCCACTCCTTTAGTGGGGGCGAGTTAGTTCCGGGGAAGGGAAGGGGATAAAAGGGGAGATCAGAAAAAGATAAAGAAAGAAGAGATGTAAAGAAAAAGAACGGATTGAAAAGAGAAGTGAAGTAAATGGGATGAAAAGGAATCAGAAAAAAAAGGAAGAATAAAAAAAAAGGAACAATTGGTCAGCAGTTTATTTTTGTGTGTATTTTCCGGAATGCTTTATTCAGACCGGGCACTTTTTTTTCGATATGCTGGTCAGATTTAAGTTGCACTGGTTTTGAATGCTCATAAAATGTTAATATTTTGCATAGCCTAAATGTAGCAAGCGTTTAAAACAAATACGACCTAGTGCATCAGATACGCAGAGAACACATTATCAGCAGATGCAGCGTTTATTGAACATATCTGAGGTGTTTCTTGCATACATACAACACTGTGAGGATGTACACCATTCTTATATAAAAATAAGCTTCCCACCAGTGAAATTTCTCAAGTTGGACAGCCTTGTTGTCAGTCAGGCACCTTAAAGAGAACCCTGCCAAAGTTTCCATAGACACTCTTATAAAGTTGTTTCATCCGTACAATAACGAATTCAAGGTGTATATATAGAAACTTCCGAAAATGCCAACATTATGTGAAGAAACTGCATTTCAAAGTTTACGCCCTTGAAACCCCACTCTCGGTAGCTCCTTTACCGGCAACAATGACAAGAACTATACAAAGACCACTGAGGTCAATAGGGGCACACAACCACTCTCTCCTTTTTCTTCCTCTTTCTCCCCTTCCCTTTCCTAAATCTTTCAACTCAATAAAGTTTTTCAACGACAACAACATAACGTAAGACATGGTGTCTGAGATACGCCATGGACGGCATTGTTGGTAGTTGGACTTGTTTGTGCTCACTCTTTTATCTAGTCTGTTAATTGACAGTTATTTACAGTGCATGATAGGAACAATTTGTGCTGTAGAGATAAAAACATGTACAGTCGCCCAGTTTTTTTAATAATATCATGCGAGCGTCGACCGCCGGGACGTCCAGCGCTGTGCCGCGGAGAAATGCGGCGTCACGGGAGAGATTAGGCGCGTGTGCACAAAGCTCTCTCCGGTGCGAGCGTCGTCTGTTAGGCTATTCTGTTTACCGCACAGAGCCCCCGTTCCTTATCTGTTGGCATAGCTGACTGCTTTTAAGCAAAGATCTGAACACCGCTTGCTTGCGTGATACCGTGATACTGCTCAGGCATGAAAGACTCCGCAAGGTATATGTACAGATGGTAGCGAAACTTGGGCCAAAACACGGTACAAAACAAACTGCCAGCGACATCAACCAGGAGGGTCACGTGGTTACGGTGCGTTTGAAGCGCGACTAGGAGACATTATGGCAAACTATATACAAATAAAATAACTTTAATTTTAATTATACTAAATTGTATTTTAAATTGTGTATGTTGTTATTTGTGGTCTTAAGTAAGGTTTATCGCGCTCGAGAAAGCTGAAATAGCTTTTATTACTACTAATATTTTAACTTGCTCTTAGCGCCCTCTGTACTGCACAAGCAACAAGGCTGACTTTTAATAGCGATAAATTGCGGAGGCATCGTGCTGCGCGAAGAGGCAGGTTCTTGTTGTCCGTCTGCTTGCTTCTTTTAGGTCTCCACGTGCTTTTTGAATCGTTGTACCGTCACTTCAAATAGTTTGAAAAGTTTCGTTCGCTCAGCGTGATTACGCAATTTACGTGCGCAGGAGCGTAATATCAGCGTGATATAGGAACAGTCACCTTCGTGCGGTTGGACGCTGCTGCGTCCGACGGGCTCAACGTCCTTCGTGACAATGAGCTCAACACGTTATGCAACGAGGCGTTGCTCCGTGGAAGAATGCCTAAGTGACAACCGCACGGCTGGCGTCTCGCTGCACCGGTTTCCTGTCGACACTTGAAGGTGAGATTTTGTTCCTGTCAGTGAGGTGCCTGCTGTGTTGTGTTAAGTGATGCCATGCCCCCCTCGTAAAATGTTCTCTTAACTGTTGGTAGTTTTCGCTGACTTTGCAGCGTTGTTTGCGATCATTACGAAAGCGCCCGGGATATTTGAATTTACCTGAACCGGTTTTCCCCTCAGGAGTATGGGGTCATACTCATCGACGCTCTAATCAAGGATGCAACACGATATAGATACATTTAAAAGCCTCTGCACTAAAGGCTCATGTTTATCTTTTTTGTGGTTCATACAGAGAGTTTCGCTCACTAATCTGTAAATGTCCTCACTCCGATTTCCTTTGGTGTGTGCACATATTGGCTACATTTGCTCTTTGCAAGTACGCAAGACACTTAGATAGCACTGCGCTTTATCCGCAGGCGGGAAGCACGGGTTCGGTTCTCCAACAACCGGGGCCTACAGGGGAAGACTCCATGGCAGCTACGAAACATGGTTGTTCGCTCTTTACATTTCAAGGAGTTGCTTTTTACATTTCAAGGAGTCACAGAACACAAGGCCGGATGGCAGCCAGCTACAAACTGGAGTCAGTTGAAAATCCACCATTTATTTGTGCTTCACATTATTATATTTAAAGTAATGTATACAAAATGTTCATAAAGTTTCACAGACGAACCACCAAAACACCTGAATGGATTTCACTGAATAGCAACGCAATAATCTTTTCGCAAAGCCTCATGTAAGGCAGCATTTTTTATAGCTAGCTAGAAACTGCCTGGGCCATACGGGCATGATGCTAACCTTATTTAAATTTGATTCGCATGTATGTAGTAAGTTATCAAACTTTTCACTGCACCTGGTTTTAAAAAAAATTGTGCAACTTGACAAGGAATGCAAGTTCTTATTGGCCACCATTTATATATATATAAACATTTTTAGAGTTTACTGATCTGGGTGATTTTTCACCTTGCAGCATTAAGCAAGGCCCGCAGCATTGACAAGAGAAAGATGGACGCACTGAGGGCCAAGGTACGACAGGTCCGAGAACAAAACAAGAGGCTGCAAAGAATGCTGCAACGACAGCGCCAGAGGAAGACCGTTGCTGAAGTTGTTGGGAGTGTCCGCATTCATGTTTCTCCAGCTGTCGCTGCACTCGTTGAGGCCCAGCTTAGGATGAGGGATGTGAGCCGGTTTGGTCGACAATGGTGCGGCCAGAACAAGGCTTTGGCTTTGGGCCTCTACTTTCATAGCCCAAAAGGCTGTAAGTATTGTAGGCGACTGCTTAGGTTGCCATCAGTCTGATCACTGCAGCTGTGGCTTCAGCGTGTTCCACTGAGACTTAGATTTTACCCCGAAATTTTCGAGCTGGTAAAGAAGCGAGCGACTTCTTTTTCACGAGCCGATCCAGCCTGCAGCATAGTGTTTGATGATATGCATATTAAAAAAAAGCTCTCATACAACCCCTCATCTGACAGGTTTGAAGGACTTGAAGAGCATTGTAATGGTGTGCAAGGTGCGAACCTATCAAGCAAGGCTCTCGTGTTTATGGCAAAAGGAATTCCAACACCATGGAAGCAGCCACTTGGCTAGTTTTTCGCTCATAAAGGCACACCTACGAATGTCCTACAAGATCTCCTTTTCCAGTGCTACTGCCTCCTTGTGGATGCTGGCCTGGAGCCAGTAGCTGTGGTATGTGATCAGGGGAGCCAGAACGTCTCCCTTTTTTCAAGCCTTATAACCCCCGAGAAGCCTTACAGAGATGTCAACTGCAAACCTCTTTTTTTTTCTTTTTGATGCTCCGCACCCGCTGAAGGGACTCAGAAACATGCTATTTAACTATGACTTCAAGGCTTGTGATCATGTAGTAAAAAGCTCGTACATAAAGGAAGCTTATGAAAAGGACCGGAAACTTGAGATCCATTTGATGCCCCAGCTGAACGCAAAGCACTTTGATTTGACGTTCTGCTCAAAGATGTCGGTGAAACTAGCGGCCCAAGTTTTTAGCAACCATTGTGCTGCTGCAATGTATGCCTTCGTAACGTTCCAGCTATTGCCAGCTGCAGCTATCCACACAGCGAGATTCGTTGAAAGAATCGACCGTCTCTTTGACAGCCTAAATAGCCCCCACAAATCGGCCAAAACGCCCTTCGCCTCTGCGATGCATAATGGCTCTGTCCATGAAGAGTTTTTGAAAGGGCGCATTGAAGTTTTTGAAACCCTGCAAGTACTCGGATGTAGACAGCAGCCAAACTGCATTCGTGGCTTTTGCTTAACAATGAGGTCTCTGATGATGCTCTCCAATGACCTCACAGTTAATTTTGGTTTCACCTATATTTTAACCCGCCAGTTAAACCAGGATACGCTTGAAAACACCTTTGCTATTATACGTTCGAAATCTGGAGCAAACGCAAACTCTACTTCTCGTCAGTTTCAGGCAGCGTTCAGACATCTTTTGGTATGCAACTTGTTCAAGCTGACTGAAAAATCAAACTGTGCTGAGGACATGATGTCCCTCCTTGCTACTCTTCCAGTAGGCCCATCGGCACCCTCTGGTTCTCTACCCTTGGGAAGCTCAATTTTCCTTAGCGCAGCAGACGATTCGCCCTTAAACTACCCTTCGGCCATGGTAGCGAACAACATGGTTTATTTTGCTGGGTGGCTTGCGACAAGATTTTTGAAGGGTCATTCTTGTGTCGGGACATCTCAGAGATGTGAGTTGAAGAAAGAGAATGCATGTTTTTCTGAAGGAAACCAAGTGTTACTGTACTTGAGTGTAAAAGGCACTGCTGACTCGGACTTTGGAAACCTGTCAGTTCCCTCCCCTTCTTTCTCATCATTCGTTGAGGCATGTGAGCGTGTTTTCGAGGCGAGGATGAACAACCTCATTTCAAAGGAGGGCATAGGGAGCACTCTTTGTGTACTTTTTCATCATGAGGTCCAAAAGTCTCTTGTTGTGTGTAACAACAATGTGTTTGACGACTTGTTTTCTCTGTTTGCAAAAGTCAGGCTACACTGGTTTGCACGAAAAAAAAACAAACACTGAACTTGTTGATATATCAGCAAGGTGTAAAACTAGGCAGCACGTGCAAAGGCACGTGCTGCCTAGTTCTAGTTCGTGCCCTTGAGACTACACAGCGTACATTTTAAAAGTAGTATATGTGCTTTCCTAGCCTTTCGTATGGTATAAAAGACTATTTTCGGTTGCTCGATATTTTGCAAGGTGTCTCGAAAAAATCTGGCGGGCGCACAATTTCGCGATCTAGAACAATATTTATTCCTTTCATATCCTTGGACTGAGTCATTTTTCGCGATGTTTATCAAATTGTGAAACTATTAAAAATTAGGTCATCGCGAAAGTCAATGTGCTTACTGTGCTTTGGGTTACTAACTGCTCATGCCGTTTTGTCACTGAATCAAACCTGTGGTTTTAGAATCCGACGAAACACTGGCCTATAACCCGCAGCGTACTGGAGGGCACCCAAATTATTTACGCGTACAAGGGAGGTTACAGAGTACACAGCACTATCATACTCAAGTTAGAAAGTTTTTTGGATTATGGTAGATTGCCAAAGAACGGCAAAATCGGCTGCTATTTTTGTTGAACACAGCTTTCCTCTAAACACTTTGAATATTTTTATATTGATGGCTGTGTATAAATTGACATTGCCCTTACAACAGGCAACCAATTGTACAGTGTGTTACGTGCTATCCTGTCATAATGCGCCTTGTGTATTGATCTAGTTTTCTTCCACCTTAAAACTAGGTATGATTGTAGGCTTCTGATGAGCGTTCTGGTTGAGTGATTGTAAGCATTTTCAGGTGAATAAAATGTTAGTGCAACATTGGACTTGCATTAGAGTTAATGTTGTGTATCTTCAACGCTAACACACTCGAGAAACGTTATTGTTATTCACTTTGTTTGTGAGGTCAATCACCTTAAAGCCGCTCCCACATTTCTGAAAAGCTGAAGAAAAACGCAAAAGTAGTTCTGTGGGATGAAAAAAAAAATAATTGTCGTAGTGAGCTGCCTAAAAAAGGCGGCCGCATACAAAAATTTAATTATTTTCGCGCAGATTTACGAGTCCAAACGGGGTGGTGTAAAATCAACATAAAAAAACCGAGACTGCAGGCAAGAAGGACAACACACTAAAAGAAGTCAAAAATAGCTTGGCACACCTTTGTTTGAGATTTTTTAGTACCAGAAAGCTTTGTTTGAGACTTTTTTAGAAATTGGGATATCAGGCAAAAAGGACGATCGTCCTTTTTGCCTGCAGTCTCGGTTTCTTGTTATATTTAATTTTTGCGCCAAACAATACATCAAATCGACGTCACTTTTTTTTTTCAGAAGTGACGTCACTTCCTGTTTCTTTTTTGTTCCGCCGGAAATGCTATCACGACACATAGATGGCGCTAGCGAAGCCCCTTGAGCCGCCAGTTTTTCGACACGTGGGGTTCTATGGAAGCTTCGCTACCATATGTACATATACCTTGGACTCCGCGCGTCATTTCGTTTAATTTTTTTTATTATTTTAGTTTTTTTTGTGTGTTTACTTTGTCAGCACTAAAAAAAGTGAAAGCCGTTTACAAATCCCTGTAACGCCGAATTGGAGCGCAGCTCTTGAGGAGGAGGAGTGAAGGGTACTGAGGGGAGGGTAGACCCCTCCTCCTTCTCCTCCTCCTCCCCTCATTCTTTAATATGCTCCGGGGGGGGTCACGTGACCTCGGGGGGGGGGGGGGGGTGTCACGTGACTTCGGAAAGGGGGGTCACGTGACCTCGGGGAGGCGTGACCTGGGGGTCACGTGACCTTGGGTGTCACATGGGGGTCACCTCAAGGTCACGTGACCCCCAAGGTGACCCCCACGTGACCTCAGAGGGGTCACGTGACCTGGGGGTCACGTGGGGTCACGTGACCTTGAGATGACCTCGGGGGTCACGTGACCTTGGGGAGGAGACCACGTGACCTCGGGGGTCACGTGACCTCAGAGGGGTCACGTGACCTTCAAAGGGTCACGTGGGGTCATCTTGGGGTCACGTGACCTTGAGATGACCTTGGGAAGGGTCACGTGATCTGGAGGGATCGCGTGACCTTGGGATGACCTTGGTTACGCCGACGCCGACGGCGACGCCGACGCCGCTCAAGCCGGGAACGGGCCCCTAAGAGCTGCGCTCTAAAAATACAATGACGCGACAAGCTGATTGCGACGATGCATTAAACTTTTTACCGCAGCAAATCCTACGAGCTATCAAAACCAATCCAGCGCTGTCACCCTGCCACGTGACATTGTGCTTCCAAGTGCAGTTATGCCCAACAGGAAAGCCACGTGGCACACTTTTAGCGATGGACTGGCCAAGATGACTCGTAGCGTCGGCTGCGGTACAACACAAAGTGAAACGGCTCCTTTGCCACGGAACAGGGGCTGTGTGCGATCAGCGGAACAGCCTAGCAGACGACGCTCCCCGGAAAGGGCTTTCTGCGCACGCGCTTAATGTCTCCCGTGACGCCGCATTTCTCCGCGGCACGGCACTGCCCGTCCCGGCGGTCGACGCTCGCGTGATATTATTAAGAAATTGGGCGACTGTACATGTTGCCTCCCCCCCTTTTCATCTGGCAGGCGAGACCACTCAAAAATGTTTGAGAGTAGCTGTGTAGAACCGACATGTTTAAACATCCTGTTGACACAATTATTCATACTAAAAAGTATGCTAAACCGAAATTTGAAGCTCGCAAAACAAGATTGAAGCGATAGGCAGGATGCTGCGAAACCCCCAAAACATTGCTCATAGCGCATTATTTCTAACTGATGGCCGTATTTATGGAAAAGTTTGCGACTGAACAAGGCCGACGAGACATGTGACGTCGCGGTTCTCATTCCCTCTCCTCTTGGCTTCATCCCCTCAAGCAGGTGAACCGAAGCAGGAATAAGAAAAGCGAGGCCACTTCCCCTCATTCTAAAGTGTTCCAGGAAAAGTATGACGTCACATTTCTTGTTTTATTGCGCCCTTCTTTTCCAAGAATACGGCCATCTGTATGAGATATTGAAGTAGGAGTGATGTTTCAGAGTTTGTAGAGCTCCATCGAAAGCGCCCACGGCCCTATTTTATGAAATCCAAATTTTGGTACAGCGTTCTTTTAAACAAGATTTTTCAAATTTTACTTTATAATGAACATAAAATTGGGCAACTTGCTAACTTGCAACAGTGTCCTCCCGACGATGATGTACAATGGTACTGTTACACGCACCAACCGAGAGGATTGCTGCAAGTCCATCTGCACTCAACTTCTAGTCACCTTTGAGCCTGAAGAACTGCTGTATAAGGACCGTCCAGCCACTGAACACACAAAAAGAAACACAGGAAATAACACTCGGTGACGAGCGAAGTCTCTGGGCGGAAAGCTCTCATGCCAAATGAGCACTGTCGGGTTACGGCAACGGCGTAGTACATAGGTTGTGCTTCTTCTATGCCTTCGCCGCGCGGTGGGTGGTCGTAGCTGGTTGTAGAAGATTGTGTGACGTCTGTTGCTCATACTGAAACACCAGAGCCGCGTAGTATTCTTGTTGCCGAAGTTTATAAGCCTACGTTTCCGGTCTACACACAAAGCCAGCCACCAGCAAAGCTAGCTAACCCCGTTTCTGCTTCGGCGACAAGCCGCCAGGTCGGTGACACCACCACTGAAACTTCTGCCTCGGCTCTTCGGAGAGCCAGGGCCCCTCAGTGTGCATGCGCGACACTTGCTAGGCTGCTCTGCCTGTACCAAGTAACACGTACCCGCATGTTCCCTCTCATAATCCTTCGAACTGTACGTGCCCCGTATTGTACATGATCATGCAGTACACACAGCGAAAGTTCATTTTGGAAGTGCTCCACAATCGGCCTACAATGCTGCGAACACATAGCGCAGGGCCACTATAGGTAACGAGGGGCAAGGAAAGGCAGGCACTGCATAAAAAACTATACATATTATAACACTGGCTATGGCAAACTAGTTCCAAAGATGATAAGTCATGTCTCCTTAATATGGATACCTCCGTTCTAAAGAAATGTTTTTTTTTTAATGTAAGGTGCCCACATGAGAAAATTAAATTTAAAACATAGAGATAGGATAACAAGCATAGACAAACAAACACAACATATTCAGCTAAAAAATATCAGATGCGAGTTTGCTCCAACGCTTTAGAGCCGTTTAACATGTGGCACTACTGTCGTTTACAAAAACAGATACCCAGGCTGTAAGGTGATGATTGGTTAAATCGCAATAGATGTTGCACTCTATGCCCAAGCCGGACGTAATTGACACTTAGCTGCCGACAGTTAGGGTCGTATAATCTTATGATTGCAGAAGGGAATGACATATGGTGCCTACGGCTGGATTAATGTCGTGCTTCGTGGTAGAAAAAGCACAAAATAAACACAGGATGGAGGAACCGAAAGAGACAGGAAAGCACCACAAAGTATTAAACTAGTCGAACATTAAATTTTCTTGAATTACACCTCACCCATGGTTGCTACGTGATGAAGCCCAAAGCTTAGTTCAATGCCAATCAATATTAAATATCTTTAAATGGGCACATCCTACCCGATCATGTCCTTAAAGTGGCCCCAAGCCACGTCCGAACGCGTCCCGAGCGGGGCGAACCGGATTTCCCATCTCTCCCGCATCAGAGAGTTTCCCTTCTTCTGCAGCTCGGGAAGAGAAAAGACGACGGGGGGAAAGGGAGTGAACTTGGGAGAACGGAGAACTGCTAACAATAAAGTTAGTTGAGTTTGGTACGCACTCCCGTCTGGTCTCCCTTCTCTCGACCTCGCGTGCAACCCAACATGTGTGACACGGACGTGATCAACAGCGCTATGACATCAGAACAGGTTCAAAACGCCCTTTCTGTCTCCACCGTCAGCATCAAGTTGCCGCCATTCTGGACCGCCGATCCCGAACTGTGGTTCGTACAAGCAGAATCGCAGTTCGCCGCACGACGCATCACGTCAGATCTCACAAGGTACCACCACGTGGTGAGCAGCCTGCCGTCCGCAAAAGCTTGCGAGAT